GTAAATTTCCCCTGCTCCATTTTTCTTCCTTTTTCCCCATTATAAAAGAAAGAAAAGAGATGCGTAATGTTAACAGTCTTTTAATAATGTCATCGTTTTTTGCTCCCCCCCCCCACACCTCTTTTTATGCTTTCTTTCTATACATACTCCACTTTAACTTTTTGAAGCCTACATGCTGTACTCTTTTATTTTGCATGATGTCATGCTTTACTAAATCCAAAATAGCAGGTGGTTGGAGGAGGACACAGGTAGGTCTCACTTTTGTACTTTCTTCTTTGTTCTTTTTGTCTGTCTGTCTGTCTGTCTTACTTTTCTCCAGCTCTAAATGACCAGTTTTGTGTCGACATGTTTTTCTTTACTCAAACAAACACACATAATGTAAATACAAAAAAAAAATTTAAAAAAATAGTTCCATACTAAATCCCCAGACTATGGGTTTTCAGTTTCAATTTGTCTGATTAATTTGATGTTTGCTTGTTTGTTTTTGACCATGTCTTTTTTTGGTGTAAGTTCAGATCTCCCATTTCTTCTGTGACTTCGTATCCCTTAGTGGGTGGTTGGCGGGTGCTCTGGTGTGGTTGCTGCTTCTTTCCTGTCAAACGTCTATCGTCTTTATCTCCCCTCCTTTTTTGTGTTTGTTACTCTCTTGTAACACCTCTAATCTTCGGCGCCTATATGACCTTATTGTGTTGCAAGTGCCGTAAAACTCTTACTAAAACTAAAAACATCGTATCCCTTCATGCCCAAGTTGGCCCTGAAATGCTCAGTCAGAGCCTGTCTCCTAAATTATGATATGAATTTTTGACTATGGGGACGTAAAACACCTAGGTGACATTTAAATTCCTAAGCCTTTCCATGTGGGTGGTTGGCGGGTGCTCTGGTGTGGTTTGCTCCTTCTTTCCTGTCAAACATCTATCGTCCTTATCTCCCCCTCTTTCTTCTTTATGTTTGTTACTCTCTTGTAACACCTCTAATCTTCTGGCGCTCATATGACCTTATGCAGTTGCGAGCGCGTAAAACCTCTACTAAAACTAACTAAAACCTTTCCATCGATAGATCTGTACGAACGAGACTTTATAAAATACAGGTTGTCC